GTCATTGCAGGTCTGTCCTTAGGAATTCACAGATTCCAAGTTGCGCAAGACGTCTTCTTGCTTCAATCGCCGAGTGGTGTTTCCTTTTTCTCACTCTTTAGGGCGGGGGGGGCGGGGACCCAATATACTTTCAACGCTTTCCTGCTTCATGTTCCTACCCACTTCTTCCGACCGATGGGAATGAGGTATGAGTATTGGTTGACCCGTTCCTTCCACCCGTGCCTCTCGCATTTGGTCTCTGCCCTGGTTCTGCAGGTGCTTTCAGGCTTGATTTCGAGATCCGCAGGGACCCCGAAATGAATTGAATTGTTTCCGCAGTTGCCCAATTGTTTCCGCAGCAGACCCGCCAGAACTGTAATGCAGCGGCTTGGTTCACGATCTTGCCAGTGGCCAGTGCACCTCTGACGTGCACGTCGTCGTGTTGTCCTTTCTTTCTCTCCCTCTCTCTGAGAAGCCTCCGACCCCCTTCTGAGGCCCTCCTTGCCTTCTTTGGAAGGCAGCGCACGCCTCGCCCCCTCACCCCTTCGTTTTCACTCTGCGCCCGCCGAGCTCCGCTCAGGGGCGGTCCCCGAGCCCCCGGCCCGCGGGGTCCACCCTGGACACCCCGGAAGGTAAACGACCCTCATGATGGAGGTCCGACCGTCATTCAGGAGGCTACACCTTAGGCGATGCTTAAGAAAACTTAAGTTTTCGGCCAGAGTCTCAGTTATTCTTAATGTTTCAATGTGAATCCTAAGATGTTCATGGAAATGTTGGGTTTTTAATCAATGTCTGAGACTATGAATTTCTTAACCCATGATTTCTTAAGCATTTCGCAGGGTGTACTTCTCCTGCATGGTGTCGCCTTCAGGATGGAGGTCCGACCTTCCTTCAGGAGGCAATTTGTTTGTACTTCTTCTGCACGTCGTCGCCTTCAGGACGGTAGAGAGGGGAACAATTAGTGAACACCCCCCCTTGCCCCCCAAACTCAAGGTTGGCACGCGCGGGGGAGACTGCGGTCGAGGTGCAACTCATCAGACCCACCGCCAACTTCGAACATTGGGGGGAGGGGGAGGCGTTCACAGATGAATGTGGCATGAGTGTTCGCTATTTTTCCGAGGCCTGGATGGAGGTCCGCCTGCCAGAGTGTGAAGGTGTCTGATCCTCTGGGACTTATCCATCCCGCGCCGACTTCAGGCGGTCCCGGGGCTCGAGGATGGCCTCCCGCGGTGTCTGTACTTCTTCTGCATGTTGTCGCCTTCAGGATGGAGTTCCGACTGCCAGAGTGTGAGGGTTTCTGATCCTCTGGGACTTCTCCATCCCGCGCCGACTTCAAGGTAAACGACCCTCCTGATGGAGGTCCGACCTCCAATCGGGAGGCTATTTGTTTGTACTCCTTCTGCGTGTTGTCGCCTTCAGCATGGAGGTCCGACCGCCAGAGTGTGAAGGTGTCTGGTCCTCTGGGACTTCTCGGCTCCTCGGGGCCCCGCGCGGGGGGGGGGTCCTCCTCCCTGGGGCCCGTGCAGCCGGCAGCGCCCCGCGGCCGGCGGCGCGAGCCTCGGACCGCACCCCCAATTGGGAGCCCTCGGCCCGAGCTCCGACGTTGGCGCGCGCTCCGGCCGGAGCCAGTAAAACAGGGCTGGGATCGGGATAAATCGCTCCTCCTCCTCCTCCTCCTCCTCCTCCTCCTCCTCCTCCTCCTCATCCTCATCCTCATCCTCATCCTCCTCCTTCTAAAAAAGGGCTAGGATCGGGATAAGTCGCTCCAGAGCGTTCCGGAGCGCTCCCAGGGCGTTCCGGAACGCTCGGAGAGCGGCCGCGGCGCCCAGTGTGTCCTCCAAGCCCGCCGCTTCTCAGAGCTTTCGAGTTCTCCCGACCCGATTTTGGCCCGATCTTCGCGTCGTTTTGGCCAGCTCTCCGCGCCGACGTCGGGCGGTCCCGGGGCTCGAGGATGGCTTGGCTCTGTGCGGGGGGCGGAGGTGGAGGTTTACTGCAGGAGGGGCACGGGCAGGGCGTTAGGTTCACGCAACGCTCTTGAAATCATCATCGCCCTGGTGATCGAAATGTCACGTCGAGGCTAACATTACGCAGCTGCGCCGCAGACGTTACAAGATATGCTTTCAAACATGTGGTTCATTATTTCAAAGGGGCGACCGCAAGGGGCCCGAGTGCTTGAGGAGGAGGAGGAGGAGGAGGAGGAGGAGGAGGAGGAGGAGGAGGAGGAGGAGGAGGAGGGAGAGCAGGAGGAGGAAGGAGGAGGAGGAGGAGGAGGAGCTCTCCGCGCCGACGTCCGGCGGTCCCCGGGGCTCGAGGGTGGCCTCCCGCGGCCGAGCGCGGCGAAGAGCCTCTCGCGGGCCGCGCCTCCGAGCTCGACGATCGGCCAGCTCGGGGAGCGCTTGTTTGGCACGGCGCTCCCGGCAGGCTGGCGAGCGATTTCCTGGCTGGGTGCCTCCTCCTCCCTCCTCCTTCCTCCCTCCTCCACCTCCTCCTCCTCCTCCTCCTCCTCCTCCTCCTCCTCCTCCTCCTCCTCCTCCTCCTCCTCCCCCTCCTCGTCCTCGAGCGGAAAGCGGAAAGCGGAAAGTCAAAGGTAGGGTGGAAATTTCGGCCTCTGAAGAAATTGGGCGGGTATTTCATCAAATGTGCGGCGGGGGGTCAGGGTGGTCTCAGGGGAGGGAGGTTCGAGGTCCGAGCTTTGCGGGCATCTTCGTCGGTTCCCAGCGGTTCTCCAGCCTCGGGGGGCCTTGCAGCAGCTGTCGGGGGCGGCAAAGAGGGGGGTGATGACTAGGGGGGCTGGATATCATGGCGGGGGGCATGATGTTTCCCCAGATCTCATGGCGCCTCTTCTTGTTTCATTACGTCCCTGGCCCCCCCGCTGGGCCGCGCACATGCCGCCGGTCATGATTTTCACCCCCCCCTCTTGGACACCCCCCTCTTGGCCGCTCCCGAGTCTGTCATGCGCACGGGCGTTTGTGCGGCAATGCACGAGTTGAGAAGTGAGTCGTGCACAGAATGGGAAATTCTCATAATTGCCGTTTTACTTAGATTTTGTTTGTATCCTTGGGCGCTAGATCGGACTTTCGCTTCGCTTCAGTTGGCGGCGATATCATGGCGGGGGGCATGATTTTTCCCCAGATCTCATGGCGCCTCTTCATGTTTCATTACGTCCCTGGCCCCCCCGCTGGGCCGCGCACATGCCGCCGGTCATGATTTTCACCCCCCCCTCTTGGACACCCCCCTCTTGGCCGCTCCCGAGTCTGTCATGCGCGCGAGCGTCTGTGCGGCAATGCACGAGCTGAGAAGTGAGTCGTGCACAGAATTTTGAAAAGCCTCACAGTTGCCGTTTTACTTTGTTTTTTGTTTTTTGTCCTTGATCTCCTTTGGGCGCTCTTGGGGTAACTCGGGTCAGGGCTAACTCGGGTTCGTTTTTCGGGAATCCGAACCCGACTTACCCCGGACCCGAGTTACCCTGGATAATTCGGGCGTCCAGAGCCCCACATCATCAGGGGTAACTCGGGTCAGGGCTAACTCGGGTTCCTTTTTCGGGAATCCAAACCCGAGTTACCCCGGACCCGAGTTACCCCGGATAACTCGGGCGTCCAGAGCCCCACATCATCAGGGGTAACTCGGGTCAGGGCTAACTCGGGTTCCTTTTTCGGGAATCCAAGCCCGAGTTACCCCGGACCCGAGTTACCCCGGATAACTCGGGCGCCCAAAGCTGGCGAGCGATTTTCTGGCTGGGTGCTTGTCATACGCACGGGCGTTTGTGCGGCAATGCACGAGTTGAGAAGTGAGTCGTGCACAGAAGTGAAAAGCCTCATAGTTGCCGTTTCACGTAGATGTTCTTCGTTTTTTTTGTTCCTTGGTCTCCTTTGGGCGCTCTTTGGGTTCGTGGGCCCGCGGCCCATCCTAAACCGCGCCTGGTTCGTGGGTCAGAGGCGTCGTCGAGGGGTGTGATCATTGGTTGCATTTGTCCGCTGCGTGTGCTCCTATTTGTGCAGGGGGCACGCCGTTCCCGCAAGCAGGACGAAGCATCCTTGGGCGCTCGATCGGACTTTCGCTTCGCTTCAGTCGGCGGCGAGCCCGGGGGGAGCTGAGAAGGGGCGGGCCTTCTCAGAAGGCTCGGAAGTCCCCCGGCGTTCCGAGAAGCCCCGCCGCCTTCTGAAAAGGCCTTCTCCTTCTCACTTCCCCCTCTTGCTCGCCGCCGATTCAGGTGCAGCTGACGTCCCAGCTGGTGCTGTGCTGCGACGGTGCTTTGGGGTCGCCGCTTCGGCCTGGGCAGTGCGGCGCTGCGCAGTGCAGCATCGGTCTTTGGCCCTCTCGATCGGGGTTGCGGATCCGCTTCATAGTGCCATCACGAGGTTGCGAAGTCAGTCTCATGTCGCGCTTCGCGGTCTGGGCGATTTCTCATCCTGTTCGGGGTGGTGCGGCGCGAAAGCGCGAAGATAATCGTGCACCGCGCTTCGCAGAGCGCGAAGCACGAAGATAGTTGCCCTAGGCTTCGCGGTCTCTTTTCACTCGGCTCGTGCTGCGAACGGCACCCTGGCGAGCTGACAGGCTCAGCATCGCATCATGTGCATGCCGCGACGGAAAACACTGACCTCTTCGAACCCCCCCCCACCGCTTCTGCGCGCCGCCGAGAGGAGGCGCCGAAGTTCGGCACCGAGGAGTGCGGCACGAGGTGCCTGGACGGCGAGCACTGGTGCGGCTGCGACCCCGCGGGGTCGGAGGTCGAGGTATTCGCCTGCCCCGGGGGTGAGCGCCGCTTCGCCGCCTACGCGCTGCCCGACAGGAGCCGCCGAGGAGGAGGAGGAGGAGGAGGAGGAGGAGGAGAAGGAGGAGGAGGAGGAGGAATAGGATGAGGAAGAAGAGGAGGAGGGAGAGGAGGAGGAGGAGGAGGAGGAGGAGGAGGAGGAGGAGGCCCCAGCGGTCTCTGGCTCCAGACCGGCAGCTCGGCTCGGGGGCAGAAGTCGTCGGTCATCGCCGACCGTCGCCGGCCGCCCTCCCTCGATCCCGAGAGCCCTCGATCTCCCAATCCTCGATCCCGAGATCCTTCGATCCCTCGATCCCTCGATCTCTCAACCCTCGATCCCGAGAGCCCTCGATCTGGAGATCCCTCAATCCTCGGTCCCGAGAACCTCGATACTCGATCACTCTCTCCCTCGATCCCTAGACCCCTCGATCTCTCCATCCTCGATCCCGAGATCCCTCGATCCCGAGATCCTCGATCCCGAGATCCTCGATACTCGATCGCTCTCTCCTTCGATCCCTCGAGCGTCGATCCCTCGACCCCGAGAACATCGAGGAGAAGGAATGAGGAGGATGAGAAGGGAGGAGGGAGGACGAGGAGGAAGGAGGAGGAGGAGCAGGAGGAGGAGGAGGAGGAGGAGGCCGCAGGGCACACCACACTATGTGAGACTCAGCGTTCCGCTTGGGGCCCAGGGGCACGCTCGTTGCCGCCGTTCGCTCCCTCTTCTCTCTCTTCGTCTCCCTCCTCGTCCTCCCCTCCTCTTCGTCCCCTTTCCCCTCTTTCCCCTCCTCGTCCTCGCGCCTCTTCCCTCCTCGTCCCCCTTCCCCCTCGTCCTCCTTCCCCCCGTCCTGGCCGTGTCTCGCGATCTGAATGGCAAACTGGGCCATGCGTCCCTCCCCGAGGTCGGGTCCGGGGCCTTTTCGCCCGCAGACTCGTGGAGGCTTCAGGGAGCCGCCTCCTGTGGACAGTGCGGCGTGTGGGACGATCAAAATGAGGGAGGAGGAAGAGAGGAGGAGAAGGAGGGAGGAGGAGGCGAGGAGGAGGAGGAGGAGGAGGAGGGAGGAGGAGGAGGGAGGAGGAGGAGGGAGGGAGAGGGAGGAGGGATGTAGGAGGAGGAGGAGGAGGAGGAGGAGGAGGAGGAGGAAGGAGGAGGAGGAGGAGGAGGGCGGAGGAGGAGGAGGAGGAGGGAGGAGGAGGAGGAGAGGAGGAGGAGGGGGAGGAGGAGGGAGGAAGAGAGGAGGAGGGAGGAGGAGGAGGAGGAGGAGGAGGAGGAGGAGGAGGAGGAGGAGGAGGAGGAGGAGGAGGAGGGAGGAGGGAGGAGGGAGGAGGATGAGGGAGGAGGGAGGAGGAGGCTCGCCTCGCGCGCTCACTCAGCGACGGAATGGGTCCATACCGTCCTCGGATGTGCACTCTTGTTCTTGCACAAGACAAGAGTATGATCGAGAGTGCAAACAGAGGCTGCGGCAGCGGCTGAGCCAAGCAAGTCGAACCAAGCTGAGCGGGCCTGAGCCGCCTTTGGAGGACCACGCTGACCAGACGAGGAGGAGGGAGGAGGGACAAGGAGGAGGAGGAGGAGGGAGGAGGAGGAGTAGGGAGAAGGGAGGAGGAGGGACGGACGAGGAGGGAGGGACAAGGAGAGACGAGGAGGGACGAGGAGGTACGAGGTGGGAGGAGGAGGGACAAGGAGGGAGGAGGTGAAAGGAGGGACGAGGAGGAGAGAGGAGGCGCGAACTCGCCGTCGTCGTCGCTCGGTCGCCGCCAGACGGACCCGCGGAGGAACGGCTCCCGCGCGGTGGCCGCGCCCGAGAGGGCGGCTTGGCACCTCGGCGAGGGTGAGGACGGCGCGCCGCTGCTAGAGGTGCGCCAGCCAGGAGGAGGAGGGGGAGGAGGAGGAGGAGGAGGAGGAGGAGGAGGAGGAGGAAAACCAGGAGGAGGATGAGGAGGAGGAGGAGGACAAGGGCGACGGCGACGGCGAATGCGAGGAGGACGAGGGCAACGAAGACGGCGACGATGGCGGCGGCGACGAAGTCGAGCAGGAGGATGAGGAGGAGCAGGAGCAGGAGCAGGGGCAGGAGAAGGAGGAGGAGGAGGAGGAGGAGGAGGAGAAGGAGAAGGAGGAGGAGGAGGAGGAGGAGGAGGAAGAGAGGAGGAGGAGAGAGGAGGAGGAGGAAGATGAGGAGGAGGAAGAGGAAGAGGAGGAGGCGGGAGGAGGAGGAGGAGGAGGAGGAAAACATGGGGAGGAATCGAGAGGAGGAGGAGCAGGAGGAGAGGAGCAGGAGGAGGAGAGGAGGACGGACTACGAGGAGGACGACGACGAGGAGGAGGAAGAGGAGGAAGAGAGGAGGAGGAGGAGATGGAGGAGGAGAAGGAGGGAGAGGAGGAGGAGAAGGAGGGGGAGGGGGAGGGAGGAGGAGGAGGAGGAGGAGGAGGAGGAGGAGGAGGCTGAGGACGAGCAGGAAGAGAGGAGGAGAAGGAGGAGGAGGAGGAAGAGGAGGACGACGACCAGGAGGAGGAGGAGGAGGAGGAGGAGAAGGAGGAGGAGGAGCAGGGCGTCCAGAGGTGCACGCGCCGCCTGGCCAGGAGCTGAGGCAAGAGTCGGGCCGGCTCTTCGTCGTGCCGGCGCCCGCCAGCGCGCCCGAGGCCTGTGTGGGGGGCGCCAGCAGTCGGCTGCGCGAAATGGGTGCCCCGTCGTCGACGAAGGGCAGGCAGCCTTCGGATTTCTTGGATCGGATTTCCGAGGTCTATTCGGATTTCTTGGAGCGGCGCTCGGGGCCAAAAGGGCGGCGCGCCTCCGGTGCCGCCCCCGGCGTGCGGCCCCGCGCCGACCCAAAAAATCAAGAAATCCTCGCGGAGCTCCGAAGGATTACGTTTCTGCAGTTTTTCCTTCCTCTGGAAGGGAAGGCTGGTGCGCGGCCTAAAATTCTCAGACTCTCTCATCGGATCCTGAAGGCATTTCCTGCCTCGGGATGCGCTCCAGCAGCTGCGCCTCGACGAGAGCGTTCCGGGGGTGCCAGGCTCGTCCCGGGCACGGCCGCCAGAGGCCCGAGTGATGACCCGAAAAGCGAGTAGACCTTCGCTGGAGTGACCTTTGGTGCGCGGCTTTCGGGAAGGGGGCCAGTCCCAACCGCGCAGGCCGCCAGTCTCGCCTCGCGTTCAACGATCGGCAAGCCGCGCACTAAAGATCACTCCTGCCAAGGGTCACGCGTAGCGTGTAGCCGAATCCAGACCCCTGCTGCATCGCCAACAGCCCGGGTATCTACGTTTCTTGCACGCTGTTCACCTCTTGTGGGCCTCTGGGAGGCTCCTCGTTACCAGAATATTCAGAATGGATCCCTGGAGAGGTCGTGAGAGCGATGCTTACCCTCGAGCACAGAGCTGCAAAACAAATACGACGGATGTGTTTCAATCCTTACGCGTAAGTTTATTTTTCTGACCCCAGGGCCGTCAAGAATGACTCGGGAAAAAATGCCGTCTCCTTGGAAGGGGTCGAAAACGTTGGCGTCTTCCCGCTATCCAGGGGGGGGCCGCCGCCGCCGCCGAGGGCGCAGCCGAGGCGGGAATCCAATTGCGCTGCCGCGAAGCTCGAGGCCCGACGCTCGTGGGCGGGAGGTTTCTTTCCAGTCTGGGGCGGTCCAGAGAACCAAGAGGATCGAGAACCTCCATTCTGGAGGTCGAACGTCCATGCTGGAGTCGGATAAGCTTCCAGCATGAAGGAGCAATGCCTTCGGAATGGAGGTGGGACCGCCATGGAGGTGTCAGATCATCTTAGGAGGTCTCGCCTTCCAGGGTTTTCTAGGCGTTGCCTTCCAGGGTTGTCCGATGCTCTTGGGCTGGAGATTTTGTCCACCCTGGGGCGCTCCATAGGAGGACCTCTCGACCTCCAGGGGCGTCTGCAACCCTCGACAAATTATCCTCAAAAGTTGGTGACGCGCCTCTTCGCTGCCGCTTCCTTTCGAACCTGCGACCTCGCCCCCCTGCAGTGCCGAAGCAGACCACAGCGTGGTCTGGGCCGACGCAGCTCGGAAGTTCCACGAGGGCCGCCCTTGGAGGGTGGCCGCTGGCGAGGGCTCCGCGCGCGACGCGCCCTTGCCTGGCATCGCTCGGACGTGTGCATTTTCCTCTCGGCGAGGAGCATCGAGGAGCATCCTCGATCAGTTGGCGAAAAAACCACCCGCGAGACCGAAAAACAAATTATGCTAACGGAGTTCCCCACATAAAGAGATTAACGGTTTCGTGGGACCCATTTTCTTGATGCCCTCCTCGCTTTGGCGGGGCCCCGCTGGAAGGGGGGAGGGCTACGAAACCTGGCGAAGAGCAATGCTTTCCGCGACCCTCCTCGTTGGGGCACGATGCCATGTAAATAGTATGGTTTTCGCTCAGGCGGGGCCTCCCTGCAGGGGTGGGAGGGGCACGAAACCATGTAAATAGTATGGTTTTCGGATACCCTCCTCGCTCAGGCGGGGCCTCCCTGGAGAGGTGGGAGGGGCACGAAACCATGTAAATAGTATGGTTTTCGGATACCCTCCTCGCTCAGGCGGGGCCTCCCTGGAGGTGTGGGAGGGGCACGAAACCATGTAAATAGTATGGTTTTCGGATACCCTCCTCGCTCAGGCGGGGCCTCCCTGGAAGGGTGGGAGGGGCACGAAACCATGTAAATAGTATGGTTTTCCGATACCCTCCTCGCTCAGGGGGGGCCTCCCTGGAGGGGTGGGAGGGGCACGAAACCATGTAAATAGTATGGTTTTCGGATACCCTCCTCGCTCAGGCGGGACCAAACCACGCGCGAGACCGAACAACAACAAAAAAAACAACACAGGGAATGGACGTCCGAGCGATGGCCAGCTTGGGGTTGATTTTGGCGAGGGCAGTGCAGTGGGTGTGACATGCTCCTCCTCGGCGGGAGTGCCGCGGGGGCGGCCCCGCCGGCAGACGTCGGCGGGCGCTGCGCACCGAGGGCCCCTTGGGCGTCGCGGGTCGAGGCTCAGCGAGCGTTTGGCGAGGGCAGGAGGAGGAGGAGGAGGAGGAGGAGGAGGAGGAGGAGGAGGAGGAGGGGGAGAGAGGAGGAGGATGAGGAGGAGGAGAGGAGAGGAGGGGGAGGCAGGAGGAGGAGGAGGAGGAGGAGGAGGAGGAGGAGGAGGAGGTGGAGGAGGAGGAGGAGGAGGAGGAGGGGAGGAGGAGGAGGGGGGGGAGGAGGAGGAGGAGAGGATGAGAGGAGGAGGAGGAGGAGGAGGAGGAGGAGGAGGAGGAGGAGGAGGAGGAGGAGGAGGAGGAGGAGGAGGAGGAGGAGGAGGAGGAGGAGGCGGGAGGGGTGGGTGGAGGGGCCGAGCGTTTGGCGAGGGCAGTGGGCGCTGCCTTCTGCTCGGCGGGGGGCCGGCCTGAAGTGCAGCGGGGGCGGCTCCGCCGTCGGAAGTCGACGGGCGGTGCGCTCCGAGGGTCTCCCTCCTCCTCCGGGGAAGAGGAGGAGGGGGAGGAGGAGGAGGAGGAGGAGGAGGAGGAGGAGGAGGAGGAGGAACAGGAGGAAGAGGAGGAGGCGGAGGAGGAGGAAGAGGGAGCCCGTTGCCACGCTGGCTCAAGATATTTTTCTTCTGTGGGCAGCCCACACCAGAAAGCGATACTCCTGTCACAGGGAGGCGGACATCCTTGCCACACCTCCGCTCACTCGACTTATCTTTTCGCGAGACTCTTTGTCCAGGCGGTGACCTGGGCCCAGGAGGCGCTAGCCCAGATGGCGCGTCCTCTGGGGGCGGACGAAGTGAGGTCGGCCCATCGCGATCGCCGACTCGTTGCCTTTCTCGTGCGGGCGCTGATGAGCTGCGTGCTCACGTCGACGACACCAAAAAAACATTACGTATGCAGAGCTCTGAGGCCATGCGTATGTCTTCGCAGCATTGGGAAAGCGAGCTTCTGACAACTTCGAGAGCCTCGACAATAGCATCCACGTGCGCTTCGAGACCATGGAGAAGCGGGTCGACAACACCGAGTACTCCATCTTTGGTCTGCGTGCCAAACTCTTCGCGTTCAGGAGCGAGCTGGTCATTATTAAGAACACCGCGGTCCCAGAGGCTGCTTCGGCGGTGGCCAACACGGACTTCTAGAGAGGCATCGACCCAACGATCATTACGTGCGGTGCCCGCACATTGTCGTTCGCGAAACGGTTCAGAGCGTCATTGAGCCTTGGCTGCAGGATGCCAACTGAGAGCCAGGCAGCTGGTCCATCCAGGGTGACCCCGCGGGCAAGAGGTTCACCATCAAGTGTCGTGGAGCGGCTGGCTGGGCAGTTCTTAGAATTTGGCAGGCCATGGGTGCACTTCGGCAAGCGGATGGACAGTACCGTCGCCTCAATATCCCGCTATTCAGTAATATCCCGACTGAACTGTTCGTGTCGTTGGACAAGAACCCGTCCCAGATCAAGAAGGAGAGTGAATGCCACCAAACAGATTGGTCGTGTGCTGGCAGAGGCCTACCCCCGGGCCAGGTTCTTTATGGACCGCCATGCCAGCAGTGTGTCGTGCCAGTGGAAGCCGCTCATCAAAGCAACGCTAAAGTATGATAACAGCCCGCCGACTCTTGAGCGGGAGAGTGCCAACTTCCAGAGCCTCGGCTTCGACCGCAGCATCATCGAGCCGAGGATCAACGCAGCGCTCGCAGGTTCCAGTACCGCGAGTTTTGCGGCTTGGAGTATTTCTCCGTCTTTTCCGCGTCCTTGGTGGGACGCCTCTCGAGGCGTTTAACGTGCTGCATTTGGAATGGCCGAGCCAAATTTCATCACGACCCTCGCCTCCGCTCCTTCAAGCGTTCCTACCTCGCGAGATTGATGAAACCGAACACGAGTATTG